ACACATACTGGCTGGAAAGTGGCTTCCCCTGGGACCTGATAGACATGAGTTGGGCTGAATGTCCTTGGGCAAGTTTTTTAAACCTCTCTCAACCCATTTCTGCATTTGAAAAAATATTATCTACACTGTGAAGTCTATGCGAAGAATAAATGAGTGAATTCGTGTGAAATCTTGGGACCTGCAGTGTGCGTGCACCATGGACTGTGCCTCTGGGGACTGTCCCAGAAGCAACTGGTCAGGGACTTGCCAGCGCATCAACATTTGGCAGCTGTTATTCTCGGTGAGGGTTGTCCTTTGTCACTGGCCGGTGCATCCTCAGGTATCACGCTTTCCCAGTCTGCTGAGGATGTCATTCCAATGGAGCAGCGGGAGAATGTGTTCCACCTACTTTCTACTGGGACCTTGACTGACCTAGTGTATGTGTGTGATAGAAGATTGTCATCCCAAATACACAGAACTTTGAGAGCTCAACAATAAGAAAATCGACAGTCCAATTTAAAAATGGGCCAAAGACCTTAATAGACACGTCACCAAAAAAGGATACACAGATAGCAAATAAGCCTATGAAAAGATGGTCCACATCTTATGTCATCAGGGAAATGCAAATTAAAACAGCGATGAAATGTCACTGCACACCATTAGAGTGGCCAAAATCTGGACCCAGACAACACCACGCGCTGACGAGGACGTGGAGCAGGAGGAACTCTCCTTCACTGCCGGTGGGAGGGCAACATGGTCCAGCCACTTTGGAAGACAGTCTAGTCTGGTGGTTTCTTAAAGAACTCAACGTGCTCTTATCACAGGACTCAGCAATTGCGCTCCTTGGTGTTGGAAACTTATGTCCACACAAAAACCTGCATACAGATGTTTGTAGCAGATTTATTTACAGTTGCCCAAGCTTGAAAGCAGACAAGATGTCCTTCAGCAGGTCCTCACAAATGGTGATCCTTCCAGACAATGGAATATTGTCCAGTGCTAAAAACAAATGAGCTATGAAGCCATGAAAAGACATGGAGGGAGGGATAGACAAAGTGAGCACAGAGGATTTTTTAGGGCAGTGAAACTACTCTGTATGACACCCCAGTGATGGAAACACGTTATTATACAGTTGTCAGAACGTAGAATGTACACCACCAGGAGTGGACCTCCTGGCAAACTACGGGCTTTGGGTGATAATGATGTACCCACGTAGGTTCATCAGTTGTAACAAATGGACCACTCTGGTGTGGGATGTTGATGCTGGGGAAAGTTGTCTATGTGTGGAACAGGCGTACCTGGGAATTCTGTGCTTCCTGCTCAGTTTTTCTGTAAACCTAAACAGCTCTTAAAAAGCCATTAGTTTATTAATTTAAAACAACCGAATGTAAATTTCCCCCCATTTTGTGTCCTCCCCACCGTGTGAGGTACTGCTGGAACCAAGGATGAGTAAGGCCTGGGTCCTGTCCTGAGGGCATCTAAAGTGGTGGGGTTGATGGGGCGTGAGCTCGGGTAACTTCCGGGTCACGCTGTCAACTCCGGGGAGTGGATGGTGCGGATTCTCTGTGCTCCTCCTCCTGGCCAGGTGAGCCTCCTGAGCCCGCTTCCTCTCCTGGCAATGATAACACCTTGAGAAGTAGAGAGAATACGTATAAGAAAAGCATTTGGCTCATGGAATAGAAATGTCAGTCCAACCTCATCTTTTCCCTGAAAGGTCAAAGGATGGACCGGTCATTCCGGGGTGGAGAGATCGGGGAAGGCTCTGTGGAAGGAGGTCTGACCTGGGCCTGGAAAGTGGGCAATTGGAAAAGGAAGAGAGGAGGGTAAAGGTGTTCTGGGAAGAGGTCACAGCATGAAGTAGGATTTAAAAAGGGCAAAATCCAAAGTGCTCTGGGGGGCTCACAAGTGAGCCCCAGATTCCGCGCCGGCAGCCTGGAGGCAGGGACACCTGTGGGTTCCTCACAGCCAGGACACACGGTGAGTGTTTCAGGGGACGTTCAGCTTGGTCCTGGCCATGGCCCCTTGGGCAGTGATGGACCCCTCGGCAGCTCTATTGGAGGAAAATTGGGAGAGTCTGCAGCCGATGGAAATCCAAAGTCCACAGGCTCAGTTTCTGTGTCCGAGAAGCGGAGCTGTTAAAGCCTGAAAGTAATTGTGAGGATTAGTGGCTGTGACTGCTTTGTGCAGGTCTGATACGTGCCAGGCACGGGGTCAAGGACTCTTGGTGGTTGGCCTCAAGTGTCCCCACGACAACCCTACGAGAGAGGGACTATTTTTATCCCTGTGTTTCCCAGATAAGGAAAGGAGGGCTCTCAGCGGCTGCCTTGCCCTGAGTCAGAACGGCTGCTAAAGGTCAGAGTCAGACCCAGCGCCCAGACCTGCATGACTCAGACTCAGATTTAACCACGGACACAGCTTCTGGGAGCCCCGTCATCGCTCGCATCCCGTTTTCGAGGTGTCGCAGCCAAACCAGTGCCGGCTCTCAGCAGGATGCGTGTCAGCCTGACCGCCCTGTGCCCACCATGCTGCGAGGCTGCTGCAGGGGTCCAGGCGCCGGGCACCGTGCCCCGTCTCCTTCCTACCGGAGGCTGCACGGGCCCGCGTCTCTCTAATCGAAGCGACGACGCCGGGTCTGCTGTGACCAGAGCGACCATCCCTGGGACATGTACTGTGCTTCCTTCAGATTTCTGGCTAAATGCTAAACACGGCCAGGTATATCCACTCACGGTCTTATCACTGATGGGTCATGAGGCTCTAAAAATACCTTGGCAGGATGAATTAAAAATAGTCAAGAGTGGTGGTGACCCAGCTCAGCAGAAGTGTCTTCAAGTGCTGTCATTCTCTCCCTGCCACCTCAGGCATCCGCAGCATTCCGTCTGGGAAGTACTCCAGGGGTGGGGTGGGGACACCCATCTCTGCGGCTGTGCGCATTGGGCTCTCCCCAGCACTCTGGTTTTCCGGGGCGAGGAAGGCGGGGGCACCTGTGTGGCCAGGACTGGGCACAGTGGCCCGGGACCAAGCACCTCTCTGCCCTTACCTGCTGCAGCACCTGGGGAAGCCACTGAGCCCTGAACCTGCGAAGGGAGGGCAGTCAGAGCCATTGCAGGAGCCAGGACACGCCGTCACCTCGCGTACTCCTGCGCTTCTCTCACGCAACCCCAGGTGAGTCTGGGGTCATGACCCCCCTGGAGTGAGGAGGCGCCCTCAGTGAAGCCGGAGAAGCCTGGCTGGGGAGGGATCTGGAGAACCAGAGAGGGTGCTTCAAAGAGCCATGGGGGAGTCGGAAGACTTCAGGAGGCGGAGTCACAGTTCGAGGGGACTGGAGTTGGGGGCTGGTCTCGGTCTCCGTGGTGAGAGCTGTCAGTGGGGGGGGGGCGACTCATCACTCAGCTGCACATTTGCCTCCAACGGCCCTCTCTCTGACCCCTCCTCCTTCCACGGGCCGTGGCTTCCCCTGCCCACAAGCTCAGATTCCAGTATCCTAAAGCCCCTGCCCTGCCCCCCAGGTGCTCCGGCTACCATCCTTTCTCTCTCCGGGTGAGACGGCAAAGTGTCCCCCACTCCGCCCTGTCAAAGCAGACTGCAGCCTCTGCCTCAACCCTGCAGCCTCTGCCTCACCCCTGCAGCCTCTGCCTCACTCCTGCAGCCTCTGCCTCACCCCTGCAGCCTCTGCCTCACCCCTGCAGCCTCTGCCCCACTCCTGCAGCCTCTGCCCTCTGCCTCACCCCTGCAGCCTCTGACTCATCCCTGCAGCCTCTGCCTCACCCCTGCAACCTCTGCCCTCTGCCTCACTCCTGCAGCCTCTGCCTCACCCCTGCAGCCTCTGCCTCACCCCTGCAGCCTCTGCCCCACTCCTGCAGCCTCTGCCTCACCCCTGCAGCCTCTGCCTCACCCCTGCAACCTCTGCCCTCTGCCTCACTCCTGCAGCCTCTGCCTCACCCCTGCAGCCTCTGCCTCACTCCTGCAGCCTCTGCCTCACCCCTGCAGCCTCTGCCTCACTCCTGCAGCCTCTGCCTCACCCCTGCAGCCTCTGCCTCACTCCTGCAGCCTCTGCCTCACCCCTGCAGCCTCTGCCTCACTCCTGCAGCCTCTGCCTCACCCCTGCAGCCTCTGCCTCACTCCTGCAGCCTCTGCCTCACCCCTGCAGCATGCCCTCTGCCCTCAGCCTCGTCAGAAACTGCCCTCATGACGTGCCTCCCTGCCACCTGGCTGCGGGTCCCTCTACACCCGGGCTCATCGCGTGGGCCCTGACTCCCGGCAGGATGGGGGCTGGTCACCAGCCCTGCTCCTGAGCTTGGCCTGGCCCTGCTTCGCCTCTTCCCATGTGGGGACCCGAGGCCAGTTCTTCAAGCTCCTATTTTTGACCTGTAACCTTAGAGTGTTGCTGTGTGAGTTCCATGCTGGCATGTGGCCCGACTGCCAGCTCCTGGTGTGGGGGACATATCGCCAGCTCCCGGTGTGGGGGACGTATCACCAGCTCTCGGTGTGGGGGACGTATTCGGAACCGAGAGCTGTCGTGATGACGGATGCCGCTGAGCGGGCTGGAGGTGACGCTGATGGCCCTCTGGCCCGAGGTTCCTGGCTTCCCGAGGTGTGTGGACGCAGCGCAGAGGACAGAGACGAAGGAGTCCCCAAGCTTCAGTGTGCTATCTTCACAGCCTCTCACAAGGCTTCCTGCCCCCGCGCACGAGGTGTCTCTCCCTCTTGTCTCTGCCTGTGGAATCCCTGACCTGAACCTTGACTCTGCCCGTTGGGGCTGTGCGACCTTGGGGGAGGGAGCCAGCCTCCGAGTCTTCCTCGCGGTGCCTCAGAGAGCTGCTGAGGACAGGAGTCCAGTGCCGCCCACCGGCCAGCAGGGGTCACGCCCCAGCGTGACTCCTCTCACCGAGTCTGCAGAAGGTGGCACCTGTGGGATCCCGCATCCTTTGGGACTGGAGGTGTCTCCACAGGGCTTGTGAGCCAGTCCCCAGGTGGGAGAGGATCTGCAATTCAACACTCCGCTCTCCCAGAGCCTTGTGACTTGGCAGGGCTCCTGGGTGTAAAGGGAAGCCGCCTGCCCCGCGCCGCGTCGAGGGCCCAGCCTCCCTGCTCACAGGAGGGGACACGGGACGCTGAGCGACATTTTTCTCCCAGGCTTGGTGGAGGCAGTGAGGCGGCCAGACTCCCGACGGCTGGGCCATGGGGGAGCCAGAGGACACCTGCAGCTCCACCTGGGAGCGCCCTCAGGACAAGGGCTACTCGGACTCGCCTTGGTCATGGGTAAGAGCTGCGCGCCGCTGCAGACTGCCCCCCAGCACAGGAGCCCCGCTGGGACCCGGGGATCATTCGCGCGGAGAGGGTGTCGTTTGGGATTCGTGCGTTCACACTTCTTCAAAGAAGCGGTGGGACCACCTGCTCCGGGGTCCCTGTCACAGAGGCTGCCCTGATAGAGGCTCTAGAGCTTCTTCAGGAAGTAAAGACTTTTCCTTTGCTTTGGATAGAAAATAAACAGTGATTGCTTTGATCCTCGAGACAGGACACAGGGTGTGTTGAGAGCTTCCTGCTTCCCGGGCACCGTGCAGGGAACTCACATCGTTGGTGGTGGGGGCGGAGGTGGGACTCCGAGTGTGGAAGTGACTCCCCCACGCAGCCATTTCACCACCGTGGCTGTGTGTGCTGAGTGTGCTGTGTGTGCTGAGTGTGCTGAGTGTGCTGTGTGTGCTGAGTGTGCTGTGTGTGCCGTGTGTGCTGAGTGTGCTGTGTGTGCTGAGTGTGCTGTGTGTGCCGTGTGTGCTGAGTGTGCTGTGTGTGCTGAGTGTGGCGAGTGTGCTGTGTATGCTGAGTGTGCTGAGTGTGCTGTGTGTGCTGCGTGTGCTGTGTGTGCTGTGTGTACTGAGTGTGCTGTGTGTGCTGTGTGTGCTGAGTGTGCTGCGTGTGCTGTGTGTGCTGAGTGTGCTGAGTGTGCTGTGTGTGCTGAGTGTGCCGTGTGTGCCGTGTGTGCTGTGTGTGCTGTGTGTGCCGTGTGTGCCGAGTGTGCTGTGTGTGCTGAGTGTGCCGTGTGTGCCGTGTGTGCCGTGTGTGCTGAGTGTGCCGTGTGTGCTGTGTGTGCTGAGTGTGCTGTGTGTGCCGAGTGTGCCGTGTGTGCCGTGTGTGCTGTGTGTGCTGAGTGTGCTGTGTGTACTGTGTGTGCTGTGTGTGCTGAGTGTGCTGCGTGTGCCGAGTGTGCTGTGTGTGCTGAGTGTGCCGAGTGTGCCATGTGTACTGTGTGTGCTGTGGGCTCCCTCGGACTCCACAGCCCATGCTGGGCCATCCTGCGTTTGTAGATCTCACCCGAGATGCTGGGCTTTTCGCTGGGCTGGGGAGAGAAGGTTGTTCAACTGCAGTTGTTTTCACTTAAAGCCCCAAAGCAGGGGTACAGGGTGCTCGGGGACCAAGTGGAAATGAGTACTGAGGGTGGGACCTGGGCTAGAATTCGGGCCGTACTCGTTCTTCCAAAGGCCAGGGGCTTGCTGCAGTCAAACCCCACCCCAGGTGGCGTCCGGGTCACCCATGTCCCTCCACCTCTGGTCCTCACCTGCAGAAGGCTGGGTTGGCACTCTGGGGTTCCGAGGGTCCGCATGCTTGGAAGCAGAGAGAGCCTGGGGCCTCCTGCATCCCGGGGAAATGGAGCGAGGAGCATGGCACACTCGGGCAGGCGGAGCCCCTGCTGCCGGGCACCTGTCACTTCAGTCGGGCTCACCCTCAGGGCACCTTGCTGCAGGTGCTCAGGCTGAAATGACAGCACTGGGACTCCCCCAGGACAGCTGTGAGACCCACGGCCCACTGCTGCTGAAAGAGCCTGGTCTGTGGTCAGCTGGGCTTGTTTCCACCCCTGGAATGCCCTCACGTGGCGCTGCTCTGTGCTGGCCGATGAATGCACCTGTTTCTCCTGAATGGGCAGTGCTGGGCTCCCATAAAGCCCCCCACACCCCCTGGAGTGACCGATGGTCTCTGCGGCCCTGACACTCGGACAGTGTGGGTCGTATCTCTCTTGTATAACCGGAGTGGACACTCATTCCCATTTGACAGCTGAGGAAACAGAGGCAATGGAGTTGGGACTTGCCCCCGGCAGCTCAGGGGTGGGTGGAAGGTGGAGACTAGAAGGGGGTCTCCTGGAGCTAGCCTAGCCCGGGGACAGTCACCCTCCAGATGCTGTGATCCGAGGAAGCTCTGGCAATCTCTGTCTTTGCTCGTATGTTTGATTATTACTTATTTTTCTATTTCTATTTTACAGAAGATCTAGAATATACAGCAGAGTATAAACATGATAGTAAAACTGCAGCCATCCCGTGGCTCGTGGAGCCTGGGAGCTTTGCAGACAGAGGTCTGCTTCATCTCCCTGAGGGCTCCTTATAACTGAGCACAGAAGGGTTTCAGGTCCACCTCTCGCCCCCTTTGTTCTGTGTCTTCCAACCGCACACTGCTTGATCTGAAGTCCCAGGTTAAAACCTTCAGTGGCCCTTGTGCTGTCCCGCTGTGTGACACGGACTTTCTTCCCTGGGGAGGCAGGCCTCCAGGGCAGGGAGGGTGCTGGGGAGGCAGCGTGTGCGCCCCGCGTTCAGGGTCTGCAGGGCCCGGAACTTGGGCTTGGCTCAGGCTGTGCCCATGTCTGGAAGAATCTGACCAGTGGCGCTGAAGGCTGCACAGTGGGGAGAGTGGGAGCCGAGTTGGCCCCCGGACTAGCCCTTGAGGACAGAGGGGGCCTGGCCCAGAGGGCTCTTCAGCAAAGCAGAACAGGAACACGAAACAGGAAGTTGAGGCAGATGCCCAGATGGACACTGTATGCGGGGGAGCTGAGCGGGGGCTGCAGCTGCCGTGGCCAGGAGCCGGGCGGGCTGGCTGCTTCTGGGAAGAGGAGAGGGGCTCGGTCATTGTGGGGTGCTTGCATCCCGGGGCGGGGAAGGGCAGCTGGTAGCACTGTGCACCCTCGGAGGCACCTGTCACGTTGGCACCCTCCACTTGTGACATCGGCACAGCCATTCCAGAAGCCTGTGGCTTCACCTCCGGCCCTGAGGTGGGCAGAGCCCCGGGGCTGCGAGAGAGGGGAGACCTGCGTCCCACCTGGGGGAGGTCAAGGCAGAGTGTGAGTGGGTGGACCTGCACCCGGCCAGCGGCCCAGTCACGGGCCGGCCAGGGAAGACGTTCTGAGGAGCTGCCCCTGGAGCCCGGCCTTGAAGAAGGGTAGGGTTTCAGCAGAGCCCCTGGGCCTGGAGTCTCCTAGGCTGAGGGCGCAGCCTGAGCAGAGTGGCTTTGAGGGACAGGCTGTTCCCCGCGAGCTAAGTCTGCAGTTTTGTTCCCTGGCCATTTGGGATTTTGTCTCCCCTGAGCCAGGACGTGCATGGTGACGTTCGTCTTGGTCAGGCCGCCAGCCTGTGATGGAAAGCAAACATGTTGGGTCAAATCCGTGAGGCCCAGAGTGAAGGGGGGTGGGGGGGGGAGGGGACAGAAGCTTTGGGCCTGGGCTCAAGCCCCAGCTTTGCCACTTACAAGCTTCGATTTCCTGGAGACTTAGCTTTCTAATCTGTAAAATGGGGCTCTCGTTACCTAACAATATACTCGCAGGTACTCGGTACGTGGTAGTTAATACTAATAATAGCACTAAGCCTGAAAAAGGCAGCCTGTTGGGACAGGTGGGTCTGTAAATATAACGGGGAAGAGAAATCAGATCATTTCCAGACCCTCCGTCTCCTGACCAAGCAGAATTCTGAGCATAGTCTTCCTGGGGACATTTTAGCTTGGCAGTCAAGGCCTCTCCAGAGCGGGCCTCACCGTCCTCCCCACGGCTGTTCTCTCCCACCACGGCCTTCCCTCAGGGGCTCTGGGCCCGTCGGTCAGCTGGGCCTCTAGGGAGGTGACCTTCAGGACCACAGGTGCTTCCTGCCACTTCCGGTCTCTGTAGGTGACTCTGTCCCAGACTGCCTAGAGCATGTGTTCGCCCTCTGGCCACACTGACCAGATGCCTGGACAGAGGCTGGGCAACACCCTGCCAGGCCCCTTTCTTCAGGGACCTCTGGGGCCCACACCCCTGTCTGAGGTGGGGGCATAGACAGACAGACTCAGGAAAAGGTCCACCTCTCCCCTGAGTGTCAGCTGACTTGAAACACCTGTGGCCCACCTGGTCCCGGGAGGTCTCTTTAGAGGCTACTGCCCGGGGCTGGCCTGAAAGCAGGAGCCCCTTGGTCCTGGGAAGGGGGTGGGGAGCGGGGCAGAGAGAGAAACCGAGCATGTCCAATTCCTGTCCCAAGTGGTCCTGCTCATCCCTCGAGGCCCGGGCCTCCACCTTGGCGTCCACCTTGGCGTCCCCACAGCGCCTGGCACACAGCTGTGTTTGCCAGGGTCAGTCATTTACACTGACAATCCTGATGTAATTCTTCTCTCTTTTTAAAAAAATATGTTTTTATTGATTTTTTTAGAGAGAGAGGAAGGGAGAGCTAGAAACATTGATGTGAGAGAGAAACATCGATCAGCTGCCTCCTGCTGGGGATCGAGCCGCAACCCGGGCATGTGCCCTGACCAGGAATCTAACCGCGACCTCTCAGTCTGTGGGACGATGCTCAGTCCACGGAACCACTCCATCTGGGCCCTGATGTAATTCTTCATAGAGCCCCCTTGTGCTCTGGGCTGGGATGGTCACCCTACTGAGCACACCCCGTAAGGCCAGGGAAACAGCGGACCCCATCTTCCTCCCCAAGGTGCCTCTGGGAACGACTCTGGGGTGAAAACAGCCAGAGCAGTTGCCATGCCTGGTTGCATTATTATTATTTTATTTTTTTATCGTCACCCAAGGACATTTTTTTCATTTTTTGTTCAGATAGAGTGGGAGGGGGAGAGAGAGAGAGAGAGAGAGAGAGAGAGAGAGAGAGAGAGAAAGAGAGACATCGACGTGAAAGGGACACATTGAGTGGCTGCCTCCCGCACGACCCAACCAGGGCTGGGGACAAATTGCAACCAAGGTACATGCCCCTAGCGGGAACCAAACCCGGCACTCTCTGGTCTGTAGACCGACGCTCTAACCACTGAGCCAAACCAGCCAGGAGTATAAATAACTGGATGTATTTACACTGAAATTCCGTCGACAGTGAGGACTCACTCTTTGCCAACAAGAAATTAATTTTTTGGTACATGTATACATGGTATTGAGAAGCACTATGCTGAGGAGCCCAACCCTCAGGGTCTAGAAACCAGGGTTACAGGCCCCACATGCCAAATGACTAGTTATGTGACTTGGACAAGGTCACCAC